GAATTGTTTGCAATTGTAGAACTGTGATCAATTCTCACCACAGTCGGCAATCATGCATGCACTTCCCAGTACCCGAGAAGAAAGAACAATTTCTATCGAAATTCAATTAATCCTCACCAAAGCACCAGCTCTGGCCTCTCATACCAATATTTAAAGAAAAGTAACACAAGCTGCAGGATCTATTTTCTGTTGCTTCTCATCTTCTAGACATGTTCATTCAAACACATCACTTGACAGATAACTAAATGCACCTAGTTCCCACCTACTCCACTATCTTCACATCGGATTAACCAAAGGCAACACACATGGTTTGCTCGAATCATCACAGAAGCAATCGCCAATCATCTCCACATCAAGCAAATTCGCAGTCCCCAATGAGGAAAAATTTTCAACTGTGATGGTCCCGTGAACTGACCTCTTACGTCCCCAGACGGCGGCGATGTACTCATCGACGGAGACGTAGCTGCCGGCAAAGGTCCCCAAGAACAAGCCGTACCTCACAGTCTCCTTGACCGCGAGCACCACGGCCTCCTCGTTCGTCATAGCTCCGGTCTTCCTGCACTCACCAGCACGCCACGGCACAAGAATTAGTTTTAGAACCACCAAGACCAAAAACCCCCGCACCAAAGCATCCAGCTTGTGCGCGCGAGAGAGACCTCGATCTGGGGGAGCGGCGGCTGCGGATGCGGACGAGGACGGAGAAGAGCGCGAGGCCGCCCTTGAGGCCTGCGCCGATGGCGAAGCCCTTCGCTGCCGCCTCCACGCACCGCCGCAGCCACCGGAGCTCGCCGTCCCCAGCGGCCAGCGCCGGCGGGGCCTCCAGGGGTTTCCCCGGCGGGGCGGCGCAGTTGCCGTTCACGTCGCATTGGAGATCCTCCGGCGGCGAGGGGGCCATGAGCTCGCCGGCGAGGGGGGAGGCGCGGATCCCCCACCAGGTGGCCGCCACCACCACAGTGAGGAAGAGGAAGCTCTGCTGAGGGCAATTGGGGGGCTGCAAGGCGCGTGCTCACGCCAGTGCAGGCAGCATGACTTGCCGTCAACGGAGTTCTACGCGTGCCAGTATAGAATAATCTGTGGCCATCTGTTAAAAATCGGAAGCGTTCTATTACTGTATTAAAATTCTGCGATGAGATTTTACGGATATCATATTATCAGGAGCAAATTTCTGGGAACAGAGTTTTTTCACGGAACCGACGGATAGGGTAAATTGCCGGCAAATACGAAGACGGTATAGGATCATTCATGTATATGTGCCCGAATTGCACTGCATCCTGCACTGGTAGCATTTTTTTTTTTGACAACTGTCCTGGGCCTTGTTTAGATTGTAAATTTTTATAACCTGGACACTGTAGCACGTTTCGTTTGTATTTGACAAACTTTGTTCCATCATGGACTAACTAGGCTCAAAAAATCCATCTTGTGATTTACAACCAAACTGTGTAATTAGTTATTTTTTTTACCTACATTTAATGCTCCATACATACGTTCAAAAATTGATGTGATGAAAAAAAAGTGAAAAAACTTAAAATTTGGAGGTGATCTAACCAAGGCCCTGGTAGCATTAAAAGCGAGAGCTACATCCGTGGCGACCAATAAATAGAGTTTGAAAGGTGTGCTTTTGAGCTCCACCCTTTTATTAGCGCAATTACATGCTCTTTTTTACTCCCTCCGTCAAAAAACAAACCGTAATTCTATCTTAACTAGAGTTGCCTTTTTTTTGAAGGGAAGGAGTAGTGCTTTACGAAATCCTTATTGAAAGTCAATTACTATGATACTCACGGTGCTTGTGCTTGTAAAATTTTAGAGCAAAATTAATCGTCAGTCCCTAAACTTGGCCGACGGTGTTATCCAGGTCCCTGAACTTTTAAAGTGATGGCCCTGTTCGCTTGAACTTATCAGCCATACCGTTTTAGCGAAATAATAATATTTTTCTCTCACAACAAATCAGTATCAGCATCAGCTGTTTTTTCAACCAGCCGAACAGAGCCGATATCTGTGGGTCCCTAAACTTGGCAGAAGGTACCATCCAGGTCCCTAAACTTGAAAGATGATCACCACAGGTCCATAAATTTGGCTAGCGGTGCCAACCTGGCCCCTGAACTTTCAAATTAATCACCGCATGTTCATAAACTTGGCAAACAGTGTCATCCCTGTCCAAATGTAATAATATTAAAAGTTATCTATAGTACTAAAAGTTTTCTCTATTTTACTTTTAATTTTAGTATTATTTTAAAAGTTTTAATATTAGTATCATAGAAGTAACTTTTCTTTGTTATTAATACTAACATTATTATTAAAACTTTTAATACTATAATACTATTATTAAAAGTTCTAATATTATAATACTACTATTAAAAGTTGTATAGTATTATAGTACTAATAATAGAGAAAAGTTACTTCTATAATACTACTATTAAACTTTTAAAATAATATTAAAATTAGAAGTAACTTTTAATAGAGTAAACTTTTAATACTATAGGAATTTTAATATTATTTTAATACTATTAATGATACATAAATATTAAATTAATTTTAGTATTTTTCTATTTTAGTTTAAACCTAATATATTTGTTGTTAGATTATTTTAATACTTTAATTTATTATTTGATGATGTAAATTATTTTATATAATTTATATTTTCATGATAAATATTATATAAATAATGATTGATTAATTGACACATGTTGAGTCCACGTCTAACGTATAGTCAGCGTGCCACGCTAGCTTATAGAGTAGGTTAGACCACATTTGGATAAGAATGATACCGCTTGTCAAGTTTAGAAACCTACGATGATCACTTTGAAAGTTCAGGGACCTTAATGACACCACCGAACAAGTTAAGCACCGGCGGTGAATTTTATACCATGTAGCTCTACGATCTATACATGTTACTGAGAATATGGCATGCATTTCTAACTGTATATATTTAGTGAGCTTCCGTTTTCGTGCCGCAACTAAACCAAAGCATGGAAAAATTGTAGTGGCAACTGGCAAATCATGAACGTGAGAATATCCCATTCCTTGCGCAGTCTGCTTCCTTTAGGAAATTTATTTACGGTCGAGCGGAGGTGAAAAGGCTGACAATGACCTTCCGAAAACCGGAATTTCCTTTTTACAGGCGATCGGCAGTTCGGCACACGTCCATTGTGCTGTGCTTCAGTAGTTCAGTTATACGTCGACGTCGTCCGATTAAAAACGCAACGAATCAAACAGGACTACAGGTAGTAGACGCAAACGAAGCCGAATTCACTCCACTGTTGGGATGCTTCGGGAAACCTTCGTGTCCTGTCGTCAAACGCAGACCATTCATTTGCCAATTCTTTTTTGTTTTCCTCAGACCTGTCGTGCTCAGGGTGGTCAATAATCGCTTTCGGTGCCACCGTGCCAGATGAACAGATCTGACTGTATTTGTCGTTGTTTGTTTTTCGTGCTTTGTTTGCTCGCACACTTGTTGGTTGAAGTGTTGAACTGCCAGGCTTTATTTGGGTTAGTTTTATGGGCTCTTCAGGCATTAGTGCCGTGCATATTTAGTAATCGAAACGTACACACCATGCGGTTTCAGTTCAGACAAGAAAGAAAACCAAGGGCTTTCATACTTTTCAGCTCACAGCAATACGACATACATGAAAAACAACGCTGCCACTGCCACAAGAACGCTGCTCCAGTATATAGCATGTCGTAGAATCCGTGCTACTGCAAGATGAATATCATACGCTAGTACCATCATGGGCGTCCTCGCGCGCGCCGGCAAGGTAGGAAAGGAGATAAAAGAGGATTTTTTTGGCACCCGATTCACTGCACAGATTGAATGGGGAGCGGAGAAATCCAACCATGCAGCCGACGGATCCGGCCATCCGTCACCGGAGCCGGCAAGGGAAGGGGAGGGAAGCAAGAGAGAGAGAGAGAGAGAGAGAGAGAGCGCACTTTAATCAGACAAATGCCGGACAGTGATCGGTCCGTAGCCACCTCTCCATGGCGGCGTCCCACAAGTCTGTGCGGCGGGCGGCGGCGGGCTGGCTTTCAGCGGGCGGCGCTTACACCCACCGGCCAGGGGCATGGCCGCCGAGCACAAGCAGTTAGGGTTTGGTCGAGCACACGTGGAGCGGCGGGAAGGGGCAGCGCGGGGGAAGCGACGGTGGCGGCTACCGGCATGGCCCGGTAGTGCCGCTCCGTGGCTGAGGACGTCCACCGCCATCGGGGCGGCCACCGTGGGGGCCCACGAGTGGCGCCGCCAAGAAGAAAGTCGGGTGCTGCCGCCCGCCAATATGCGCCACGACGACGACTGCCATCCGGCGCCAGGCCCAGGCCCAGCCACAGGAGAGGAGAGAGAGAGGAAGGGAAGGTGGGCGCGGACGCGGCGAAGGCGACGTCTGCGGGAGCAGGAGCGTCGAGGTCGGGAAGGAGAAGAATCGAGAAGGGGAATTGTGTAGAAGTAGAAGCCGAAGCTGGGGATGTATTTGGTCTTGTGGATTCGGACGAGAAGCCGGAGAAGCTAAAGGAAAGGAAAGAGGAAGCCGGAGAAAGTCACGAGAAGCATTAGAAGCTGTTTCCGAAGAGAATCCACTTCAAGCAATAAGGGCCACGGGATGGAGCATCGGACGGCTGAGGTCATTCGGGCCGACGTGGATGCTGTTCCTAGCAGCCAAAGCAAACTGCTTTAATGATAGTAGATGCAATCGGTACAATTTACAAACAGGGCTTGAACAAACTTTACAGAGTCAAGGACAATTCGACATGTTTAATATACATAAACCTTTGTTTATGCAAACTGGTCGAAAGTTTAAACAAGTCAACCATATATATTCATTCAAAAGAGTCTTCAGTAAATATGTTTTTCCATCTGTACAACATAGACTGTACAAAAAGCTACAGTTAAATAACTAAGACCAGAACCAAACTAAAATATATACACACTAGATGGTTATAACTTAACAACGCAACTGCGGGTTATCAATTTGGTAACACTAACAAATAATTTACAAGCATATATACACCAGTTGTTATGACCAAGAAGGCATTGGCACGTCATCATACCAAAGCTCTTTGAACTCGCTCATAAAGAAGCCTTCATCCATCTCGGTCGACTCATCGAGCATCTTTTCTTGCATGGCCTATTATACCAGCAGTAAGGAAATGTAGAGAACAACGAATCAATAGTCCCATTACAATTCCATCAGTTCAGAGCAGAAGAACGGGCAAGTTAGTTGATAAAGTTAAACTAGGAAACAAAAAAGAAGGCCTTGATACCTGCGATTCTTGAATTTTTGTCACAACAGTCAGAATCCTTCGATACTGATCCCGAGCGTCTGGGTACTGAGCCATCGACTTAACTCTGGCAAGAGCTTTCTGCAGCCTTTCTTCTGTTTGTTTCCGTCCTTGTTGTAAGAAATCATAATCATCCTCAGCGGGTTTATTTTGGATCAAACTACTACTGCTGCTGCTGTTGCCCTCCATTGCACCTTCTGTAGACCGAAATCCACGCAACCCAGCCCCTTTTCGCCTCCAACGCAATATGACCTTCTCCACTATTCCAACAGACCAAATGATTTTACGATAATGCTTCCTCACTTGGTGACCTCGGACATGAGCCTAGCCAGGAGACAATGACAAGTTTCAGCGTTGATTGCTAAAATAGCATTATTTGATTAAAAAATATTGAAATAGCATCAACAACATATCTTGATAATCCAAATATAATTCGAACTAACTGAGCACTGCATGGTTCACTGAAAAATTGCCAGAAGGAAAATAGATTTTTTTTGCATGGTATACTCAAACAAATCGCGACTTGAATGATACACTATTAAGCTGGAACATTCAGCGGATCACTACTCATGTATAATACAACAAATAACAATACCTGGATCTTGACAATGCGCTGTCTGATAAGTAGAAATTCCTTTCTTCCCTTCCATCCACGGTACTTGTTCTGTATTCGAGTCGCAGCAGCATGCAGGGGATCAAGTTGTACAGGTTTAGATGGTTTAACAGATAAGAGTGATATGGCACGATCATCTGATACTGCACCACTGCCATCCTCGTACTGAACTGCTTGCTTTCTCTGGAAGGACTGCACCCTGAAAACTTGATATATACGAGCAGCAGCTTGGGCAGCATTTCGAACAGCACCTAGTGAATCTCCCATGGATCCAGCTTGAAGACCTTCACCTGCTAATGGTGATGCTCTTCTTTCAGTAACATCTCCAATACCAGGCAGACCTGATATTTCTGGCGCATTGCTCCCCTTGCCTTCCTTAAGATCGAGGGTCTGAAGATGACTTGTTAAAGAAGACTCCGCCAAGAAACCAGAGATTCCCTTGTATCCATTAGCTGATGCAAGATCAGCTGGTGTGTTTCCTGTTGGGAAATCTGGCGTTGGGTCTGTCAAAGCTCCAGGAGCTGCACCAAGTGCAATAAGTGCGACAACTGTTCGCTCTCTGGACAACAGGTGAAACAACATCAGTATGCGTATAAAATATGTGCATATACAATATCGCACTCTGAATCACTTACCTGCCACAAAATGCAGCCCAATGGAGTGCAGTCCATCCATGAGCATCTCTGAAATTTATATTCACACCAGCAGAAACTGTTGGCCTTATCACCCAATCATATCCTAGGGCAGCTGCCAGATGAAGTACACCCTGCCCTTCGTCATCTAACACATTGGGGCCTTTGCCACCATCGCTTGCTTTGTGGACAAGCCAGATGTGCAATTTTTCCTTTAAGCGTTTTTCCAATAACTGATCCTGATTATCATCAGTGGCAGGCTCATTATCACTAGCCAATTTTAGCAACTTGGACCAGGAATCGTTGTCTGTCATCAGTGAGCTTATCTTCTTGCTCAAATCAACCATCTCCTTAGTGGGGTTAGATACCGCTGCCTGGTACTCATTGTGTCCCAAAGACAACAGGTCATCAAGACGCATCTGGAGATACCTTTTGTTTGTAGCACCATGTGGACTTGGGGCATCCATGTATTGAGTAACACTTGGCCGAACTCAAACTCTCGGATTTCGCTGCAGGCCAACCTGTTGGTACATGTGACATAAAAAGGAACCCTGCCAGGTTTGTGTGACGGGGAATAACATCTGAGAGTCCCATCAGCTGAAATCTCTGCTGGAACTTCGACTTCACCAAACATACATGACCACTTGCATCTTTGAATCTCATCAGAATTTAAGAATCTACCGGTAATGAGAACCTGGATGGTATGCAAGATACATCATAAGCAGCTAAAGAAGACTAGATTCAAAGATCCATTAGGACAAAGCTATTACACTTCCAAGAGTTTTGAGCCAAGAACATATGAAAAGCTTTAGAAGGCATACCCTAGTCTTGGAGCGAGCATATGTCCAGCTTGGAGAAAAATCAACTATACTAAACAGCTGGTCTTGTGCAAGCACTGGGTCAAGAGTGAATTGATCCAACTGATCACGAGTTGATGCTTCAATGATATTATCGGTCTCTTCACTGTTCCAATACACTCCAGAACTGGACTTAATTTGGGAATCATCTACTTCACCAAGTGCTTTGCTCATCCATCTCGTAAAACTATCACTTTTCTTAAAGCTGTCCTTCAGCATTTCAGAGAGACTAGATGATTGAGTTTTCAAGAGAGGATAATTAATAGTTTCCTCCAACGATCTATCATTTTTCTGGAAACTGTCCTCTGGAGAAAATGAGCTGATAGCACCAGGAAGCTGAAATCAAGTAATTTCTCAGTTAAGTTACATAAACAATCGGAGCCAGCAATGGTAGTATAATGGAGTAATAGTATTGTGAAACCTAATCAAATGCAATTGAGCAGAGTCTGTACAATAACCTACAATATAGACTTGCTGCCATAATAAAGACAACAAAGTAATTCTATCCACAAAAAATAAAACCATGAAATCAAATTGTAATTAAACAACATTTCTGTGCTATTCAGAAGATCACTAATGGGGGGAATTGGAACTATTAACTTCCATAATCGAAGCTTTAATAGGTACTGCTTCCTAATTTTGCCCTTATGGAATTAGTTTAGCTTGCATAATTTTTTTTCATTATTATATTTCTTCCCAGTACTTCATGTATCATTAAAGTTCTATGCCAGTATTGCTGTCTGGAAAATAAGCTGCATGCAGCTGCTTTGTTTATCTGTTACATAACATGTGGTCACTGCCCAACCTTCTACCATTATAAAGTATTGCATTAGGAAATAAAAATCACAGACATATCTAAGCTTTATACAGGTGAATTTTATATATACTGCTATACAGAAATGTACTTCATGATACCTGCCATACTGATTCTTCATCAGTGCCTACAACATCTGCATCCTTGATACTCAATCCATTACTATATACTTCATCAAATGTAAAGGATTCGATTCCGTGTCCTTCAGCGAAAGGAAATAGTTCTGAGGAACATTACTTTCGGTGGGGGGCATTTGAAGGACCCCTGGTCAGGTTTAACAAGGTCATTCAATGATGATGGATCCAACTGATTATCCGCCCCATTGAATCCAATTCCAAGGTCAGGCTCATTAAGAGCAACTGATAAGGCATCTTGAGAATATGAATAAATATCTGTATTAGTCACTGTAGCTGGGAAGCCTTGAAGGTTACCTAAACATTTTGTGTAGCAAAAGAATACAGGTCAATTCAACTTTGATCCATAATGCATAAACTATTTCAAATGCCTTCCCGGAAACAAATGTATAATGCTACTTGCCTAGAGACAATGCAGGAATGTAGGAGCTCGGAATAGAAGCGCTCATCACAGGTCCACCTCCATTTTCATGCTGCTGCGTCCAAGAGAAAGGGTGGTATCCGGCTCCTCCCGAATAAATATCTGCTGCAGCGAATTTGGCTTTAGATACGCTGTGCATAATTGGAATGTGTATCAGTAAAATATTCCAGTAGGCTTCATGCAGAACAGAAGGGATGACAAACAGTTATACCTGATTCTGTTTCCTCATATTCTGAGGCTTGTCCACTAAGAGAGCTTTCACCCTCTGTAGTTTGTGAAGGCAGCTGACTTAAAGGGCTATCCATATGAGCAGCTTGAAGCATATCGTCATGTCCTCTAATGCGAGAAGTTGATTTGCCACCCTGATTGTGATATCCAAATATGAGAGGGGGGATTGGAAATTTTTAAGCAGGTAACTGCAAGAAGAAAAGATTTTGCTCCCAAAAGATAGGAAATGACGATGCAAGTTCAGAGTTTGAACCAAGTTGACAACAAAACACAAGTAGCCAAAGTAAAAAAATGCAAACAGAAATAAAAAAAACTGGCTAATTGAACCAATGTAAAGATAGAGGTGCCTCATAGTGGGCTACTGGGCTTCCATGTTTGAGACAAATGAACGTATTCAGATGGGAGTCATCCAACAGAATTGTATATCACATGATGCCTACAAGCTACTAGGACTAGTACAATAACTGAAAATATAAAGTTCCAATTATTATTTTACATTTATGCATTGTTAATTGATTGATTCATTGCATAAGAACTGATGCAAACTCATGATAGCGGCCAAAGCATTTCCATATAACCTGTGTATAAGTAGTTTAATAACTTGTTTAGAATAAAGGTCGAGCATATTTAGGTTAATTACTTGTTTAACTGATCCAAATAGCATTCAACTGAGGTGCCCCGAAATTCTACTGCAAGTGTACAACATAACAGAAGCCCACAATACTTGCTAGACCTGAACTTGAACAGAATTCTCAGAACATGAAATGAAACAAATTGTTTACAACATATTGGCTACATTATACTAAGAATAAGCTATGAGAAAACCAATGTGATTACTATCACAACAGATAATAGACAAGAACCTGATGTAAAGAAGAAAAAAAACGCATTTATTATAAATTTTTCTACAATGCAGCATTTAGGATGATGAAATCCAATTTTCTGAAAGTACAATGGACAAGTAGCTAAATACATATCGACCAGAGTAGGATTAGCAATAACCTTGACTTCGAGATAATGTACAAGTACAATGTGCATAAAATCCCTGCAAAAAAAAGTAGAATCAGTTGTAAGTTCCCATGCGTGCATGCAGACTCAATACAAGACGCATGAGCCATGAGTCGTCAACATGCCTTAAGCAACATAATCTAAGTTGCAATACTACAAAAGTAACACAGAAGAACACTTACTCCTCCAACATCCAATAACTCCTCCTCTGAAAGTTTTCTTTTCCTTCCCCGTGAGCATAGTAGCAGTGAAGCACATCAACACTTCCAGACTAGATTAGTAAAGAATTGTCAGTTTTGTTGCCCTAATGGCTATAATCACTTAACAACATACAGTATGCTGTAATTGTACATAGGAAAACTTTGCAATATTCAAATTTGACGTACTTTTAATCTTTCATGAGCTTCTTTGACATTTTTTCCATCCCTTTTCTTCCTCCAATTATGCCCGTCCTTCCGGAAATATCTCAATACTTTCCGATCAAACAAGAAAAGTGAACCACCTAAAGGCAGCGATAAAAGAAAATATTAGCAAGATAAACAGAAACATCAAAAAGAAATAGAACCTTTTGGAGGAACAACTATAAAACAGAAACAGTGTTCAGCAGAAAATGAGTGTCATACTTGGAGGTCTATTTGGTGGTTCTGGGGAAATACGAAAATTTCTGTAGTTCTTAAGTATTTCACATATCTCAGCGGGTCGTAGCCATCGGTGTTGTGCTTCTTTCAATATCTGCTCAACATCTGTTCCAAGTTCATGAAAGCAAGGGTTAGATAATTGAATATAGTGCCATGGTTAAATTGGATTCATAGGAAGGTGGTCTTAAAATATTTAAATTAGATCGAAGTAATACATTTTAATCAGCCTTCACAAAATAGAGTTGCCTGACCATTTTACTCACGTGTACAATAAAACTTAATATTGGAGTCCCTTTTGTAAGTAAATCAACTGGATTTCATTGGAAGTGAAACCCTTAGGACTAAGATGTATCTACATAACATAACTTCAAGAATGGAGGACACGAAAAACAGTTCATCATACCTTGGTTTGGAGCCCCAAAGTCTCTTCTAAGTGTACTTCACTACTTAGGACACGATAACTCAAAAATCGTTAAACCTCTGAAACTATTTGACCCTCTAAAAAAATAAAAAGAGGGTCCCACACATAGTCTATCATGTGATATCCCCGACGCATGCACACCTCAACAGATCTCAAGTCTTATAACCCAGCCAGAAGCCAAAAGTCTGCTTCCTCAGTTCATGCTACAACTTTTAGGCCCCGTTTGGCAGGGCTTCTCCACCAGCTACAGGAGCCGTTTGGAGCCGTTTTCTGCTAAACGGGGTAAAGTAAAATAGCTTCACTGGTGAAGCCCCTAAAAACATGCTCTCACAATGATTTGGGGTGGGATGGAGCCAAAAAAAAAAGGTGGCTTCTCCAGGCTCCTCCTCCAGGCCCCTAAAAACATGCTCTCACAGGGAAGCCATTTTGTCAAACGGTTTATCAAAACGGCTTCAGCTCCACCGGTGGAACTGTTCGTGGAGCTGAAGCAAAAAAAAAAAAATGGCTTCACTAGTGAAGTGAAGCCCTGCCAAACGGGGCCTTACTTGAACACGAGATTCTTACATAGAAATCCTCTTGTTAAGCTCTTCAAAAATTCCAGGTTGGCAACCCAGTTCCTAGTATTATGTGCTAATAATTCCGATCTAAACCCAAGCACAGATCAATTTCACACAGTACATCACAGGTCCCACAAAAGCAGGATACTCCGCCTTCAGAACACTGACCTTCCTCACATAAAGTCCCCCACTCTCCCACAAGGCTTTGCCATAGCTGCCAAGGCTCCAGGTAATTCCACCCTGAGAACACTGTGGACGCAGGACCTGAACGAAATACCCCCACTTCCGCATAATGGGCTCCATACTCAGTCACCAGACCTCCAAATCCACATCAATTTACTCTAGAGACAAGATGTTTCCTCGCGAATACCAAGTTCGCACCAATCGCACACGCCCATCGCCACCAACCCACGCGCACGGTTCCGGAACGAAAGCACGGATCCCAGCGACGAAACCACACTCTGACACTCGCCACCGGCCGAGCGACAAAATCAAACGCTCCAAAACGCAACTGCACGAGACAAATGAAAAGAAGGACCGACGTGTTGACCGCAACCTAACCGCCAACTCCTTCCCCCTGGTCAGGTGGATCAGGAGTTGAGGGCGAACCAGACGCCTGAGAGAGGAGAAGGCCGGTCGTTCAGTGCGCTCACCTAGCTGCGGCGCGATCGCGTGGCGCCGCGCCTCCGCCATCGCCCGAACCGAACCGCCGCGCGCAACGAAGCAGAACCAGGCACCAGGCGCCGCCGTCCGCCGCGGCGCGGAGTCAAGCCACCAAGCGCAAGTCCCTCCGTCCGGGCCTAGCGGCTGTCGTTCCGACGATGGCGATCGCCTCGTGATTCGCTCTCCCGGATTTCTCGCAGGGTTTTGTGGAGGATTCGGGAGGTGTTGGGGGCCTGTGACTCGGTGACTGGCGGCGTCTCTCCTCTTCCTGGCGACGGAATTTGGTGGTGAGGCGCGAGGAGAGAGAGGAAAGAACTGGACAAGCCAGCCGTCGACGAGGTGGCGTGACGAGTCAGAGGGCGAGCGAGAGCTCAGGCGCTCAGCAGGGGTGTGGTGTGGTGTGGTGTGGTGTGGATGAGACCGAAATGTCCGTTTTGCCCCCGCGTTATCGTGGGAATGGGATTTGGCTTTTTCCGGGCGCCGGAGCGGTTGGTGGGGTGCGGCCGCGGGCGGGCGGTTGGTGGTCGCGCCAAGCGTAGAGGCCACACTAGCCGTGCCCGTGCCCGGCCCTTGAATATGCGGGGGACGCCTCGTGTCACGTTTCTTGGGTGAATGAATGTGTCAGCGCACGTGTCGCTCTCGCCGAGGAGCCCAACGTGAAACACGAAATATTGCGTGCAAGGCTGCAGTCAAAACCAGTGAGCCAGTGATCGAACGATTGGCATAACCATGAGTTGCTATTTCCAATTATAACTCCTATCTCTGTACAGAAGAAGATCCGAACAGAGCTTGGTCTGAACTCTACCCTATGAGCTCCGAACAAGATTTCCGGCGCTGGTTTCAGTCTCTCGACTCTTCAGTGTTCTTGCGCCTAGGAAAGACAAGCTAAATTGAAAAGCATAGTTCTTTCAATTCGAACGTGTCCAAGAAATCCGACAACGATCTTGAGGTGATCCCGTGGTTCAGTCCGTCCGGAGAGAGCGCCTCGCGCGGAGGGTGGCGCCGGCGCATTTGGCGGGTAATGGGGAAGGCCAGGCCATCAGCTGCACTGCTGCAGGGTGCAGTCGTTATCTGTGGCCGTCGCGCCGCCGTCCTATTTACGTTTTGTTATGCTTTTCAAGTACAGTAGTAGTATTGAGCACGTCTGGTTATGTTCGCTTCTTTTATAATCCATATTTTTCAGTTTGTTTTTTAGCTGAAATAATATTTTTCTCTCATAATAAATTAGTCGGAATAATATTTCGACGCTTTTTCAGTGAAGCCAACCGGGCTTTACAAGCCGGCACTCGAGGCTCGACAGGTAGTAGAGTCTTCGGTTACATTCCAACCATGGCACGCTCTAATCCACCATCGTCTTAGCCTCTCGCTTTTTCTCTTATCAAGGCCGTCAAAGTCGCGCGTAAATACGAAAGCCAAGTCCAGCTGGCCACAGTGTTTCTTCTGCTGCGAATTGGACTTTCGATTTGGTGGTATATAGATTAGCAGGCAGATGTAATGCGAACATGCTCGCCCCCTGGCGTTCAGAAACTGGGCTTGGTACTTGGTACGAGCATCGGATGCATCCAGCGGATTCTCATGACTTGCAGGCTCCAGCCCAGTTTGATGCATGGTTGATGTAACCGGTGTGTCCGGATAACTGATCCAAACACCTAATACGTGTGATAACTGATAAATCCGTGGTTCAGTCGATCTCCGCTCACAATTGAACATCGCTTGGACCAAACCTTCAACTAAAGATGCCTTCAATAAAGAAATGGCCTTCACTTTGTTAAGAGTAAAGGAGAGTCGTTCTGAAGATTTCTGCACATGGATCCAAAACTGGTTGTAATTTTGAGAATAGATAGCATCTTTTTTTATTTCCTTTTTTGTACCTTAATTTCGTTTGTAAGTGCTACTTGTAAGTTTGTTGCTTCTTGTATTTAATAAAATTTCTGCTGTAGGGGCTTCGGCCCCTCCAGACTCTTCAAAAAAAAAACATCGCTTGCATTCTCTTCGTCTTGAAAATTTGTGCAAGGAAACCCATCTAAAGGTAACAATCATTGTATTCCTAAAAAAAATAGGTAGAAATCATGGTGCAGTAGGCGTAGCAGTGCAACAGACAGTGACTTTGCACCTAATTACCTCATCCTTCCAGCCTCCAACATGCCTTGGTTAATTAGCAACAGTAATTTCTGAGCCCCATGACGCGGACCTACGCTACGCATTTTCTCGATCACCACCCGGAATGTGCCGACCACGTGTCGTCGGAAGCCGACCTTGGCCAGAAACATGTGTGCGTTGCGTTGTGAACACTAGCAACAACACTCACTTCTAGCAGGGTTACAGACAAGAGACAACCTGGCTATGCACTATGCAATCACTCTCGCTCACAGTGCTCGCTCCGAGGTTCCCGTAGGACTGACTATGCCCCTGTTTGGAAATTGGAACTGCTTACTTGCTCTTTCTGCTACTCCCTTCGTCATAAATTATAAGACGTTTGATTTTTTTGACCTAAAGTTTAACCACTCGTCTTATTTAAAAATTTTATACAAATATAGTCAAATTTAAGTCATTCTTGAAGAACTTTTGTTAATAAACCAAGCCACGACAAAAAAAAGTGATATTTTACACAAATTTTTGAATAAAACAAGTGATCAAATTTGATGTCAAAAAAGTCAAACGTCTTGTAGTTTGGACTGGATTAAGTACCTTTTAAACTTTTATTAAGACATTAGTAATCTCAAACGCATAGCTTCTCATGGGCCTTTTTTTAGATAGGCTTCTGGAAAAAGATCTGGGAATGAGAAAGGGGGCTGCTTCTCGCGGCTTATTTTTCACACCCGTGCCTCCCTCCTCTGTCCGCCCTAAGCCACTGCAAAGCGTGGCGGTGTGCGGGCTGCCCGCCCCACTTGCATCCCTAGCACGCCCAACCGTGCAGATAGTACCCGACGTGCACAGGTCAAGATCACGGAACTGCAGGTAGACCCAACGTGCGTCAACGCACAATGCATGACTACAATCACAATCCTGTTTATGAATGATGAATAACCATAATTGCACATCTAACTCCTGTATGTCTGTATCTCAACTGTGGATCATAAAGTCATGTGACCGCAGGGAGACCGGTCGAAGTATGGCAGTATTAGACAGGGTCACAACGAGAATCTCCCAAATGTCGCTCTGGTTTGCTGTCAATGTGTCAAATACATCAACGATAAAGTATGGAAATTTTGTCAACAGAAATTGAGCAAGGCCGAGATGTTTTCGCTGGGGCAGAGTCCAAGAGAACAATCTTCTATTAAGCCACTGAATCAGGTCTTGAATAGAACCTCGTGTACAATTTGGTCAACTAGTTGCAAAGCTTCAGTTGAACAATAACCTGAAGCTACCCTCACAGCATCTGGAGCTTTCATCAAGCAAGCCTATGAGAAAACTAGATAAGTTATTGGTTTTCCCCCAGCAACTTTATCAAGGTACGTGATCACCATTTGAACTTGCTTCGTAGGCTCACCAATTAATTTGTATTCACTCCACTTTCAGGACTATCTTCGTTAACTCATAAACAAAATAGCTGATCGATGCCGATGGTAGAACCTGAACAAAAGTTGAAAGAAAACCAGAGACTTAAGGCAATTTGAAACAGACTAGCATACACTGATCGCAATGAATAGTAGGATCAAAATGATACATGCAGGTCTCTAAGTTCGTGCAGTCTGCACAAATCTCTCTCTCTCTTTCAGTAAACCAGCATCATTGCAGGGATATGTCAAGAACCTTGTCACTTTCATTAAATATGTTTTCTTTATTGCTAGTTTGATGCATTAACAAATGAAATAGATACCCTCAACATATCTTGTTATACAGCATATTAGGATTTGAAAAGGTCACACTTCATGAATTTTGACCAACAATTAGTCTAAGTATATGCACGCATACTGTTTACTGCTTAGTATACTAAAGTTATACTGAACAGATTCAGATATTTAGCTGATGTTTTACTATTTACCTTGAGCTTGAAGCAATCGATGATATACTTCAAGTGAAAATTTGTAGTCTAGAGTATATCTCTGAAGACTTCTTAAAATGCTAGGTGCTAGTAAGCCTTATAAAAAAATGATGGCAGTACAATAATAAAGCTGGGCCCTACATATATGTGGAAATAGATTCTCTGCTGAAAGAATACATACCTGTAACAAGCTGGGGATCAGACCGGCATACAGTGCTGGTACCCCACCTTGATCAACAATCTTAAGGCATGTTGCAAATGCATTCAATCTGTTTGCTTTTACTTGCATCTGTAGCTGCCTACGGACCACTTCAAACGGGTATGTAGCTGCTTCAGCACAGCAACCAGCAATGGCCCCATAGAGTAAGGTCCTCACAGTACCCAATTCAAGTTGATCCAATGCATTTGCCTCTTGTTTTGTTGCTTCATCATTGATATCCTTTTCTTTCCTTCAGGAGAATGCAGATATGCCATCTTCAGTATGTCATACATCCCATAGAATACAGCGCCAGAGGGTGCCATGCTGATAAGAGAAGGCACTAATCCCTTTATACAGCGAGAAGAATCCTTCAGTTTGGATCATGTGGCGGGCAACACCAATGACCCCACCTAAAGTTTCACCGCCAGGAGCTACCATCCTTGTCCTGATCTGAAACCAACAGCTAAATAGTCAGTGAAAAGATGGCAACAAAGTAAAAGATTAAGGAAACCTGTGGTACAAAATCTTTAAAGAAACCTACTGTATCCATAGGTATGCACATAATCGTTGCTGTAACACCAGCGAAAGCACCAGCAATAAATCTCTCAAAGTTCGTAGTCTCTTCGTTACCAGACCATTTGAGCAGTTGCTTTCTGTAACTGTCATATGCATAGAAGTTGACTGCCTTGAATGGAGCAGTGCGGAGGATGTTGACAAAGTTCCCTTTCCAAAAGCCTTTCAACCCTTGTGTTGTTGCAATAGCATGCATAAGCTCAAATAGATTCCTCTGCTCACCACGAACTATATACTCCAACTTTAGCCTCTCAAGAGGAGCAACAACTGTTCTGCATGAAATATAAAAATTATGAAAGAAACTCATGTACTCTCTTCCTAATAAAAAGAACAATAACTAGGAAAGCAAGACTCACTTCGTGTAGTAATCATGGAAGTGGGCTGGATCATAAAGCTTATCTAATTGCCAGTAACCAACTGCACATGGGACCAGCTAGGAGAAGTTCTTGGCATGTTTTTTGTTTATTTGTTTGTTTTGGTTGCTTCTTCTAAGATTTACAGGACCATAGCATACAAAGATCATCATAAATACACAATCAGCTGAAATAGAACAGTGAGCATGCCAACTATAGCTAGAAATAAGAATGTCAGTGGATGGTCCACTTCCAGGAACCAGCAAATCACTGGGTATTCTTGAACTTGTCACTTATCATCCATTTACCTCCTCAAACTAAGGTAATTACCCAGAGGTCATGGATATACTGTGGATCTTCTAAATCTAGAGGTAGCAATAGACATCTACCATGAGACAAGGATATACAACATCTGATTTCTCAAGCAGTGACAATAGTGAAAGGATTAAGAAAAAAGAGGAAGCGTTCAAATATGTCAAAACAGAACAAACCAATCACATCTCAAAGCAACCAAATTGAATGAAACAAAAATCAATTCCCTTCTTCCAAGGTTTCAAAATCTCACAATCAACCAGCTCTACAGTGAATTACTATCTGAAGTAGCACACAAACTTAAAACTACTAAAAGCACAAGTGTCAACTGGGATCCATAACCTCCTGTGGAAACAAAACAAGATTATGTGTGTGGTCAAGACTCAAGAGTACCGCTCTCAATTCCTATTAACCTATGCAAGTTCTATTTTCCTATTTCTAGGCTTGTGGGTCCATTTGGGCTCTAATTTTATGAAACCAGTTTCTCCGTGGGATGGAAAAGGAGCTTCGCCAACTCTAACTTCTAACTTACATACACATCCCAGATGAAGCATCTGCATACTGCCACACACAGCTTAAGTTACTTGACCTTAACTACTTAAGTACTTGACCTAACCTGTTCACAAAAGCTCATGCTGTTCAAATACTAATTATGTGGACTACTAACAATAACTTGTAGAAGCCAACTTTACTGAACCACATCTAAAGGTCAACATACTCAATGCCTCAGAGAGCCCGAGAAGTAGAAATTAGCAAACAAATTAATTCTTCAACATTCCAATCAAAGGCAAGCTAGTCAGCTACTGTTCAATGTCAAAAGAGAAAAGACTGATCCATTTTCACTAGATAAGCAATCATGTTAAGTTGCTAACTCGCATATGCAACTCTGGATCATAGACTACAACAAACTATCTAGTCTAGATTAAATCCAAAAACATCTAAACACACAGATCATAAAGTTCCCCAAGAGTTCAACTGCAACCCACACTAACTTGAGACAAGAGTAAAAATTAAAGAAATACAAATACTCTTGTTAGTATTTTACTAAGTACCGAATACTGGATCCATAAAGTTTAATTCGTATGAACAGATTATCAACAACATCCAGAAACAATTCGAGGCCAGTACTTATTTGGTAAAAAAAAATCAAGTTTCCAAATCAATTTAACTGCAGGAGAACCAATCAACAATGTAAACTGCGTAAAGCCAGACACAATGGATTGGGCTATTAGTCTTGTGAATGTGAACCACAGACAATGCGGCTATACCTCGAGACCATGGCAGCAACGGCTCCAGCCCAGAGATGCTTGGTCATGTTCATCGCGCCAGCTCCAGCACGATAGTCCTTCTCCTTTTCCTTCTCCTGCAGCAGAATCACTCCCTCCGCCTCCGCAGCAACTTCCACCGCCCTCTTCCCCGCGACGAGCGCGTCCGACTCCTCCGCCCCGGCCTTCTCCTCCGTGCTGGCGAGCAACCCCACCGGGGCCGGCACGAACCCCCTGCCCCCCTTCACCGACATCGTCAGCGACAGGAACCCCGGGGGCTGCGCGCCCCGGAGGCGCCGGTGCCGGGGCCCGAACGACAGGGAGCATCCGGGCATGGCCGCGAGAAGCGCGCCGTGCGCCGCCGCGTCGGCGCCGTCGAGGAACAGCCCCGCCGCCACCGCCCCCTCGCCGGCCGCGGGAGGCAGCCACATCTCGAGCCACGGCATCGCGCCGGACCGGACGGGACTGTGCAGGACAGGACCCTTCACGCGCCGTGCCTGTAACCTTGTTCCCCTCGTCCCGCCGCCGCTAGGGTTCGCGAGGCGGGTCGATGCATCGGTTTTATCGACGGGGAAGAGGGGAGGGGAAGCTGAATCCAGCCGAGCGGAATGGGATATATAGAGCGAGCCGCCTCGATTCGATGCGGATGCGAGGGGGGGAACGGGGAGTGGCGGCTGCTGGGCGAGCAAGTAGATGTGGAGGGAGAGTGGTGTTGTCGGATTGATTCTTCTCTTGTTCTTGCGATTCGCGAGCGATTTGTTGGCGGTTGGGGGGGCTTTGATCTTGCCGCCCTGGACTGTACCCTTGGGGCTGGAAAGGCCAACGAACAGCGAACGAGGTTGCTCGATGTGGAGTTGTATTTTGTTTAGAAAGGAGTTTTATTTTTATCTTTTAGAGAAGGTGAGTTTTTTTAAGATTTTTCTGTTCTTTAGCTTTTGTCCTCTCATTTGAGTGGAGGGCAGGAGGTCGGTATTTTGTAGTAGACTGAAGAAGTGCATCTCTCGAAATCTTTATCTAAAAAAAAGGAAGTGTAAACGGATGAACTCGTGGAAATAATATACTTGCAGTATAAGATTTCTATTCTGGTGTACTGATAGATAATCTGTTCATCTTAAAAAAAATACAAATATCTCATTTCCGATGAGTTAATAATATTAAGTCTAACTAAATTTATAAATATTATTAAAATTTATATTTTTAAATATGTTTATTGAAAAAATTATTTTACAATTAATCTAGTGATACACTTGTTACACATTGTAAGTATTACTAATACTCCTGCTAGTAGGTTTATGTATTTGATTAAGCTTAAAATCATTTGACTCTTGGAAAAGTGAGACTTTCATTTTTCTAGGGACTATTAGGGGAGTAGGGTTGTAGCCGCAGACGAAATTAGGATAACGATTAACGAAGGCATGTTTGCTTTGTCTGTTTATATCCAAGAAAGTAATATACTGAACTCTGACGGTTCTAAATTACGTATTCCAGTAATGCAATGCAATCACTAGCGGTGAGCATGTGAAGTTACGACCAACAATTCATGAATCTGATGATCCAATCCAGCTCTGATTTGCAACATCGATTGTTCGATGTGCCGTACTGTTAACATCTTCTCATGTCTTTCCGAATCGTGCAGGCTCTGCTCGGTCGTTCGTACTAGAAAGGGAAACACGTAAGGCAAAATGTGACGTTAAGCGGAATAAAATTCTGGCGTCTCGGCGCCAAGCAACACAAGCCTGCAGAGAATAGCAAGCGTCCCGAACACTACTGGCTAGTAGTGAGTAGTGACACGCCACCCCAAGTCGACGTGGCGCTCGCACTATCCACGGACCACGAGCCGCTGTGCCTATGTTGGCTTGGTGGGCTTCTGTGCTGGGTCAGATAATCGGTAATCCAATTCCAATCCAAGTATCCAACGACGCACGTCAGAATTTTCAGTCTCAGGTCCTCCGTTTTGTTTTGTTTTTACTCCACTGCATCAAGTATGTGTCTCAACTCTCAAGTGCGTATACAAAAATGAACAGGCTGTGTCACTGTCGATTGTGAAGATAATATTACTAGCATATAAGACTATATAAGAGTACAAAGATTATCATCGATTCCTCCACTGGTTCCGATAGGAACAATGCTGCTGCCTAGCGCACCTAGCTTGCATCGCAGATCGCACAGCGGTTCAAACCCAAGTAACATTATTTTTAGGAATTTGCAGTACAAAGATTATAATCGATTCCCACGCTTTGTGTGTCTTATCTTCTGGAGATGTCAGATGTGACAGGGTTATCCACTGTGAGCTTTAGGTACAAGTAGATAAATTTGAAATGATGTTGTATACTTGTATTAGCAGTTGCTTGATCGACAAGAGGTGGAACTGAAATGCAAATGTAAAACACTCGCACGGTCCTAGCCCATTGAGACGTAGGATCATCCATATCTCTTGTTGAGCTTGACCTAGCGGCCGAGGCTCAAGCGCCCCCTACCGCCAACTATGCAATGAAGTCGCCCTCTGTTTTGTAAAAAGGAAGGAAAGGAACCCCCCTGCGGGTGTGAGCATGTATATTCACCATTTTTTCACGTTGTCATACATATCGAGCAATTTACAAGTTTTTTTAGACCAATTTGTATCGGCCTACCAAGTTACCGTATGATGGGTGCAATTTACTCTATATTGTTTGCTGTTGATATGTTGGTGCTGTGACATGAAGGGGGAGAAAACAGGATGAGGAAATGAGATGCGCAACGCCATGCGTCATCTTTTAGCAGGCTGCTATTCTTTATACCCATTTGATACTTTACTTGCACCCTCTTTTCTACTCAATTTAACCTAGAGTTTGGATGGAATCAGATAGAGAAAAATACAGTCAGTAGTGTCAATGCTATATCCAAGGACAACTTATGAATCAGTTCTTTGATTTAAAAAAGTGTGTAGTCAACGCGGTGAACACAGTTTGTATTTATCAGATTATTGAATGTTCAGGTTGGACACTCACTCGACAACATCTAGGTATCGACTATAACAATGAACAGCTAAAAATTTAATGGTGTCCAGTGATACAAATTAAGATACAAATATCTGGTGAGATCTTGTGTACACTGTAGGACCAGGATCAAAACTATGAATAATTCTCGAACGAATATAATCTTGCAGCAATCTCATCTCTGGTTGACTAAACCAGGCCTTGATGAAGGGCTTAAAAGATTCAAGCGGAGGTCCAAGCTACTTACTTGCCGGTGGATGGGTACTCACATTGTCCTCAATCGGTGGGGTGGTGGTTGCAGCAGCAGCATTGGTCTCTAGCCCAGGTCCATCGGCTGAGAGCCCATTATCAGTGACCGCTGTCCCAGTGCTCTCAACAGACTGCTTTCTTTCAATGGCTCCTGACTGCCTTCGTTCGATGCCTCCTGACTGCCTACGTTCGATGCCTCCTGACTGCCTTCTTTCGATGCTGGAACTGTTAGATCTTGCAGGCACAGTCAGTAGCTGACGGACAGCGCCAAATGTGCCCTGACACTCTGAGATCAATGTTGCCCCATTCGGATAGCATCGGCCAAAGCATGCGGCACAATAAGGATATGCAACCTGATGGAAAACCAAGATGTCAAATGTTTACTGTTTACAATTTAGGCTTTATGGGTAAGACTGAGTCATTCAGTTTCGTTTCATGTGTGTTGTAGAAATATGTTCTCTTATCAGATTCAAAACCACTGATGTATCATGGAAAACTAAACAAACCTCGATAAATGCCTGGCATAGTGAAAGGAAAAGAGCGGACTCATTTCCACGGAGCATCCGCATGGCTTTGTATCTTACTAGGGAGTCAGAGACTGCATGTAGTCCCTTGACCACCTCCTGAGCAAGGACGACTTTCAAGCTCAATGGTGCGCACGGTCTTAGCTCATTCATTGCTGCTGAAACACCTGCAGACAAGGGTTTCAAAACATGACGCATCAACTTGGACACAACAGTTATCCACAAGATATGCTCGAGTAGAGTGACAGGAGCAAAATACTACGAGTGATGTAGTAGAACTTACCGTTAACAAACACTGCAAGAGGTGGATGTTCCATTAAAACAGAAGGTGGAGTCACATCATCAGAAGTCTCATCGACAACACCATTTGCTACAAAGCCAACAGATGGCATCGGAACCCAACGGTGTGAATCCAAAACGACCTAGCATGGTCGAAGGTATTACAGTGTCAGTAAGATAGTATAACAATAACATTGGAAGACGCAGAGTCCAAAGAACTAGAAAGTTGGTCAAAAGCTCAAACAGCACAGCAAAGCGAATCCAGTTTATAAAGCCAGGCTGAAAAGTACTGTTCGCTGATTTGTTGTGAGAGAAAAACACTGTACCATGGCTGATAAGCCAGGCTGATAAGTTCAAGCGAATAGGGTAGTTGATCTAGAACAGTATTTCACCATGATAATGGTTGCAAAACACTGTGTTACCTGGAAATTTTCAACTGCCATACTCATATTCTTTGAGAATAAATTTAGAACCGCACTGCAAAATGCAGATAACAGCATCAATAATAAAGCCCCTTTAGAGTCACTAATAAAATTCTATAATTTAAACAACAATTACTTCTCAAAGATTGGTGGAAGGAGGCCACGGAAATCCAATCCAACTAAGGCAAGACCCATTGCACAATACTGCAACATGAAAGTGTATCAACTATCAAATTTATAAACGAAACCAGATATCACTGATAAATATTGTATCGAACCATAATCGATATAGAAAAAGGATCAGAATCCATTCTTACCATGCATTGTTCAAGAATGTTGGACAGAGACCCACCTTCTGTTATGTTTGGTAACATAACTTGAAGAGTAGTGAGGTGATTACTAACTTGTTGCATTGCCCAGCTGAAAAGCAGCCCGCCATCATAGTTCTCATCATTTCCAGATTTATCATTGTTGAATATTGCTCGATATTGATTAACAACATCAAATAGATGTACCCTGTGGCAAGTCACCATGCCTTTCAGGTAATCATAAACATTCCTTTGGTCCAGATCTTCAAGAATTCCAGAAAGCCAAGCTTCCCTGCACCTCAGGAACTAGAATTATATCAGAGTTAGAAGATGAAGATAGAAATGCTCAAATCATATTTCCAGAAAATTTGACTGCACGATACAAGAAAGAAAGAAGAGAAATATCGTTACAAAAATTTCTGCATCGTTATTACATAGAACTTATGAACACTACTGCCAATCAAAGCAGTAACTCCCACCATTATAAATTGAACAAAAAAAAGTAAAGGCAAAATATCTCTTGAAACCTACTCACACAAAGAAAATTACATGAAAATTTTTCAGAATACCTGTAAGCGCAATTCTGACTCACTGAAAACTCCAATTCGACGCAGATGTGCTACAATACGGAGGCATTCAGGTAACTGTAGTAGAAAATGAATTGACCGTTAGATAAATTTGTGCTGAAGATGGATAGGTCAAGCAATTTGGGGGTGAATATTGGATACATACATAACATAATCTCTACAATACAAAACAGTCATAAATATTTTTCATTACACCGGTATCTTCACCTGAATATTTGATCGAAGTTTCTGGAGAAGCTGTGAAATTAATGATTGTACTGTCTTCTTGACTTCAGCAGCTAATCCTTGGACAACAGGTAAACTTCAATTGCAAAAGGTAAATGGTTAATATAACAGCAAATGCCAGGGCCTCATGATAGCAATTATGTTACACAACATACTGGGTGCAACTTCGAGATTTTGCTCACAAAAGCTTCTAGATCAAGTGCTTCATCATAGTTCCCATTCCGATACACCTACAAGCATAAGCTTACTGATTGTCATGCATAATTCAGAAACAATACAACAGCTGAAACTATGCATTACTGAAAAAAATGACATTGTCAATAACAAACCACTAAAACATAAAGTAAAGAGACAAGGAATGCAAAGATAAAAGTTGCATACGTGTCCATTAATTGTGGGATTTCAAGCAAGTCAAGCAATGTAGCGTGGTTGGCTAGTAATGTTTGATTAAGCTTCCTCTCCTCCAAAATTTGCTGTGCGGACTCAACAAACTCAGTGCAGCCAGATGTTAAGTTTGGTATCTCCTCTATCTACAATGGTGCATGAACAACAAGGTCAAACACTTCAGATCATTCTTCCAAGGTCGCATGAATCATAGAAGTATATAATGTTAGCATACCACATAGAAAGAAAAAAGGCAGTATAATAATAAACACATAATCGATTTCACCCTCTGGTATTGCTAGACTGAAATCTAGCAATCAACAAAGCTTCCACGAATTTCAATGCTATATTGTTATCAAGGAACAGAAACCATGTTTCAGCATATGATCTTAATACAGAGGTTTTGATAGGTTAATACAATACCCATACAACAAATATCTGTGATGCATGAAACCTATAAGTCTGTATTAATCCTTTCATGAAGTGTGTTTAATAAACATATTGTTGGCCATACCAAGTGCTCAAGATCATCTAGTTCACATCATACTGTTTTATGGGTATTTCTGTCCTGATACGCATATTTGAAGATACAGACATTGTATGTTTTCACGAATTAATTAGGCTAACTATATGAAGGCTTAGCTCCACAAAAGAGGTTCTACTATATTCGTTTTGTTATTACCTCTATATGATCATGATTTCGTGATCAATAGCAATAATTACAAAATTCAACATAAAAATGACCACGTTGCTAGCAGAATCGCATTTCCACTTAAGAGGCAACCACATCTCTGGGTGCAACAATAGTAAGATCACGTGATCTACTTGCTACCAGCATAAAGCAGCTAAATTCAATCCCTCCACCAACATTCATCCGATCAGTTGATTTTGCACTTGACTACGCAAGACCTACTTACAGATCACATGGAGCAACTTCTGGCACTAAGGAGGCAGGCAGTAGAAGCAACGGAGTAAAGAGTACAAAGAGCAGGGAGGGACCGGCCACATTACCATGGCCTCGAGGTGGCCGTCAAAGCTCTCGAGCTGCTCGCGGACGAAGGAGAGCGCCTCGGAGGCGGCGATGAAGGCGCCGTAGTTCTCCACCGCCACCTCCTGCATCTGCCGCCGCACCCGTTCCGCGTCGACCCTCAGAAGCTCCGGCTCCTACAATCGCTCACCAAACCAACGAACCCAGAATCACCATCGCCGCCAATCAAGGGTCGCGCAGCAAGTGTATGCGTACGTACCTTGTGGAGGCGCTCGATGGAGAAGGAGAGGAGCTCGGAGACATAGGGCTGGTAGGCGGCGCCGGCGAGGGGGAGCCCCATGTCGGCGGCGGCGTCCGGGGAGGAGCTAGAATCCGGCGTGTGGCGGTGCCTCGCGTCGAGGAGGTCCATGGCGAGCGGTGCGAGATCTGGAGTCGTGACTCAGTGAGGCCCTGAAGGGTGGGTGAGGAGCTGGCCTTTAGTGGAATGAAAGAATCCAAAACCTAGAAATAAAAAAAAAATATTAATAAGGTACGATGAAAAATGAAAAATTATAGGATTTTAAAACACAGAAATAGAAAATTTAGGTTGTTTGGAACACATTAATTTATAACATAGAAATTGCAAAGCATATGATAGATAAACGTTACTTAACACATAATGATGATCTTTATAAAAACACATCAGTAGTTACCAGGCTCTTTTTACTATTGTGGGACCCATGCACTTACTCATCCACCAGCTTTTAGCAGCAAACAACCATGCATCTGATGAATTATTGCCGTCGTCACCTCGGGCTTCTGCGAAGGAATCAGAAACCAGAGACTGGAGTGGAGTTTTGCTTTCCCGTGAAACTGCGTAGAAGCTACAGTGCTCCGTAGGAAAGGAAAGATTACTTCCCTGTGTTCCAAACGCTCTAGTGTCCTCCCGTTCCTGCGTTTTTGTTTCCTTTGATTTTCCTACGAAAATCCTTTGTTCCAAACGTGGACTTAGGTAGTGTTTGGTTGAGGGGATTAACCGGGGGTGGGATGGTCCTGGGATCGACGCTGTTTGGATGAGGGGCAGCCAGGGGCTTGGTCGATCCCCTCAGCGAATATGCCGCTCAGATTCGGGGCGCCCCCGTTCCACGAAATCGAGGGGACGGGGTCAGCCTAGCTGGGACGAGCGCACGTGAGGGGCACGAGGAAGAGACTGGCCGGTGGGGAAGGGGAGGAAGGAGAACCGGCCGACGGAGAAGGGGAGGAAGAACGGCGTGCCTGCCTGCCTGCCGGTGAACTCCAGCGAGATCCGGTCAAGATGAGCTCGACGCGCGAGATCCGGTGAGCCCCATCCCCAGTGCACACGGCCGGCCCGGGGAGCTCCGGCGAAGTCCGGCGCAGTCCCGTCCCTAGCTCACGCGGCCGGCACGGTGAGCTCCAGCCACGGGCGGTGGCGGCGCCAGGGGCTCCGTCGTGCTCGTGCGTGCGTGCTTGGAGCCCCAGGTCTCGAGCTGGTGGAGCGAGCGGCTGGGTGGCGGTACGCGAGCGGCTGGGCGGGTGGCGGCGACGAGTGGCTGGGCGGGTGGCGACGGCCGCGGGTGGCGACGGCCACGGCCGGCAGCGAGCGCGCGGGCGGGGCCCAGCAGCGGGATGGCGACTCGCGAGCTGAACCGCATTGAAGGAAGAAGAAAAAAGAAAAAAGAAAAAAGAAATATGATGAATGGTGGGCCCTCACGTCAATGGCTCATCCCACTTTTAATGTTGGATTTTTATTGAGGCTATTATGGGCCTGTTCGTTTGAACTTATCAGCCGGCTTATCAGATATAATCTACAATATTTTTCTCTCACAACAAAACAGCTTCAGCCGGCTTATCAGCCGACTTTAATACCAGCCGAACAGGCCCGTACAATTCTCCGAGTTTGGAGAAACGCCGTTATAATTCACCTATTTGATATCTACCATTATAATTTCAATTCCCCGTCTACATATAAAGGCCCACCGTCAGGCGTGTATTATACGTGAACGCATACGGGCGTCAAATCCCCATCTCCGTCTGACTGACCCACCCACGGACGCCTCGCCACACTCGCGTCGTCGTGCTCGGATCTCCATTTCACCTCACCGCGGACCTTCGCTCTCGGCGCTGCTCCGGCTACAGTGCCGCGGACGCCGCGCCCTTCGCCTTGCAGATGGCGGCCGCCGTGGGATTGGCCAGCTCATACAGATCGCCGCAGCCTGCTCGTACGGCACACCGCCCTCCCAGAGGCAGAGCACGCGGCCGCCCAAGCGCAACATCGAGATGGGGCCACGATGTGCCGCCCACATCGTGCTCCTCCCGCTTTGCCGTCATCTCCACGTACCACGCGGAGTAGTACGCTGCGCCGTCTGCGCCGAAGCGGGACGAGCCAAGGTAGCCATGGCTGTCGAGCAGGTGCACGGTTGTGATAGAACCGCTTAATCTAATGCTTCACAGGAGTACTTGTCTTTCATTAAACACTAAGTACTCAAGGGAGGACATCAAATTACGCAGTTTCGTCGAACACACCCCAAGGAAGAACTCGAAAATCCATTTTTTCCCTTAGGATCACAAAGAAGAGAATAAAGCTTACAACATTTTAGCCATTTCTTACATCACTTTCCGTGCAACATCATAGTACAATATTTATGGTTTATAATAGCGGAATATGATTATGTTATCAGAGTTGTGAATAATTTAATTTAATAGCGGAATATAAACATATGATCAGAGTTACAGCGGAAATAAATATCTATTCATTACATGATGAAGCATTGATATATAAACTATGATAACCGATTATAAAATTTCTATTTATAAAAATATTTAGTGAGAGTTATAAATAAAACTATGATCGCAGCATACAGGAATCCTCTCTGAACCCACCAGGAGGGATCCCCACACAAAAGTCAGCTCTAGCATCCGCCTGTCACCTGCAACAAGGAAAAATAAAACCCTGAGTACTTAATTGTACTCAGCAAAAGTTACCCGATAGGAGGAAAGAAAAGACTCCAAGGATATGCAAAGCTATCTAGCTTGTGGATTTATTGCATCTGTAGAAAGCATTACTAAGCGTGCATCCTTATGTTCAATTTTATTAGCAGTCAGCATTAGTTCATTAACTAACCATTCTATGTAAATACCTATGCTACTTTCAAGCATGTGGTAAGCAATCGGAATCATTTTACCATCTTTCATCTTCCAGTTCTTACTACGCTGCTAGACTGTAGACAAATCGTACAGGATCGCCCGGCGATTCGTGAATCAATGTGCCTAGCTGGGTACCCTAAAACACACGTCCCACTTGTGCCCCAGGCACAAGCAGGACCAACCCACCACCCTCCTGTCACGGGGTCTAGATCCCCGTCCAAACTTAGACTCCAAGCCCCCACTCCTGAGTTCCGGACTCAGTGTGGTGCTTAGACCTCCACCATCCCCACCTCCAATGAGTCGATCCGAAAAGAGCCAAAACCCATGACAAGAAAGCAATGAGTCTTTTCACGCCCATACACAAGTATGTGTTTAGGATAATAAGTCTGTGACCTACCTAGAACCCAATACAATGGTTGGTCTTTAACCGACACAGACGGAACAAATGCAATCCGAGCCTCGCTCGAATGCCAAACCAAGTCCAAATCTAAAGTACCATCCCCCGGTCTTCAATTATCATATATATATATTCCAGGTGATAATAATATAGTAACAATAATAATATATTTCCTATCTCTCGTAAGTGACAGTCAATCACTCGAGTTATATCGAAGTCCTGTAGCATAGCAATATACATGATCATGTCATACTAGTAAGACCCATAGAATATATATATATATATATATATATATATATGTTTCATTCAATTCTTTAAACTTAATGCACAAATATAATATAATATAAAGTGTAGAAAAAATAGGGGTTATGCACTGGGACTTGCGTAGGTAACATATAACTAAAAGTTAGTATTTTATCTTGGCGACACGATCTCCAAAAGTACCATCTCACCAGTAACTCCTGATGACTCCGCAATCCATCATCGTCCCTATTATGGTATACAATGCGATGCAAAGATGATGCAACAGTTAATTAACAAGGCAACAACACTCTTAAAACAGAGTACAAACTATGAACTAACAAGCTAGCTCTAATGACTAACGTACTAATCTACGTATCAACATCGTCGAGAAGGGTGTCATTTCTCAACAAGTGTTTTAGTTATACAATTCCAAAGTGTTCCTTTATTCTATTCTATCGATTTAATCTTTATTCAAAATAGGGCATCATTATCTATCTAGCAGACTAATTATTCTGGAGCTACAAAAATTACAGTGAGCAGCTAGTAATATTAGGAATTTACTGTAAATTTTTTAGAGTCAACACTATCACTATTTTCTCACAAAAATCCCCACAAGTTCACATTTTAACAATATTAAATATTTTAAAATAATTATAGCAACCTTGGAAACATTTTAAAACTAAATGAAGCAAATACGCTAATAATAGGTCATGATTTTAGGAGACTAACAAATTTGATTTAGCATTTTTATGATTTTCTATGATTTACTATAAATTTGTAAGATCCCTGTTTTGGTAGAAAAAGAAAAAGACTAAGAAAAAGGAAGAGGACCGCTTGGGCCAATTCTGGCCCAGCTCAGCCACGCGCGACGCAGGCGCGACGGTAGATCGACAGCGCGGCTCGGCCCACAGGCCCGCGCGTGGCCCAGGCGGGCAGGTAAGCCGCAACCCAGTGCGAGCAGGCTGGCCCACGTTGGGGAGCCCAGCGGCAGCGACACTTTTCACTAAGCCCCCCACACTTTACATCTACAACCCTGATTTTTTCTGAAATTAACCAAGCCCTTACTTGTAAATTTATGAATCTAGCATTTTTGCAAAGTGAACACGGTAAAGAGTTCTATTTGCGCTTGAGTCCTTATTCTACCTTGAAACAGAGCAGCGAGCAGGGGAGGCAGTGCGCCGGCCGATGGGGCGGCTCGCCGGCGGCAGAGACAGCGGGGCGGCGCATGGGCGCGTCGACGACTCCGGCCGCACATGTGGGCGGCAATGGCTCGGCCGGGCGCGGCCGGTGGAGCACCCGCCACGCGTGCAGCGGCAGTGCGTGGCTACGGTGCGGCCCGACGCTGCTCGTCGCAGCTGGGCGGCCATGGCGTAGTCAACGGTGGGTGCGCTGCGGGCTTAGGCACGCTCACACACATGGTGGCCAGGCGATGGCAGCGGCTGTAGGTGCTAGCAGCCGGCCGGCCACGCGCACGGCGGTGAGTAGAGGCCGCGGCCGCGACTCCAGTAGGGCAGGCCGAGTGGCAGCGGTGAAAGCGCTCGGGAAGGGCAGCGCTGTGGGGCTACAGCTCCAGCACGGGGCCGTGGAGGTTCACGCGCGCTCGCGAGGGGCCGGGCGACGGACGG